TCTAGATGTTGTTGCTGTTGCTTGCCATTATGACGCATTGAAATAGGATTTTATATTCAAGTTTAGTGTGTAATCAGAGTGGGTAATGTAACTTCTTTACCCAGAGGGCTGTGGGAGTATGAAACATGTTACCCAGCCGTGTTGTGGAAGCCGAGACCCTGGTTTCTTTTTAAGAAACAGCTGGATGGAATCCTGGGGTCAGTTAGATACTAATTAGCGAACAGGCTGGGTGGGCTGAATGGCCTCCCGTGTTTTTAACTTCAGACTGAATGCATATCTGCCTGTAGGTTCCCTCAAATACTGAATTTCAAGACACAACATAATGATACAACAAATAGTCCACGATAGCCAAGGAGCTTTTTGAAAACAAATCGGAGATAATGTTGTAGAGGGCTGTGGATCAAGAGAAGGTTACTTTTCCATTTGAGTACAGTGAAGTCCATCGTTAATAAGTGGAATGTGATATTTACCACCCAGAAACTACTTAGATCAAGTTTCCCTTCCAAATGGAGCAAACAAGGCGAGGAGTAAATTAGTTAGGGATGCTACTGCAAACTCAAAAATGACCTGAACGATTTGCAAAAATCCGTGTCAAAGAGGCACACTTCATACAATTTCAATTTCTTAGTCCCTCAACAAAACTCATCTATAAAGGTGATGGGCAAGAAGGAAGCCTTTATTGAAAAGTCCTCATCATAAATCTCATATACATACTGCAGACATGTGGCAGAAGACTGTAGGGTCAGATGAGACTAACATTGAATTTTTTAGTCTAAATGCAAAGTGTTATGTGTGGCGCAAGCCCAATACACCACGTCACCTAAGTCAGCACCATCCCAACTCTCAGTAAAGATGCTTGACAAGATTGTGGGGGAAATAGAGGTAGCAAAGTACTCAAGAATCCTAGAGGAAAAGCTGTTTGAGTCAAAAGAAGCTAAAACTAGGTAAAAAATTCGGACTTAACCAGGACAATGACCCAAAGCACAAAGCCTTACTAAAGTGGTCTGACAAGAAGAGAACAAATATCCTTGACTAACTTTTAGTTCAGTTTCACAAGACCAATGAGATTTAAAACTCCTTTTTGTTAATGAATATCTCTAGTTAAATTAAAGATTGACAGCTGTTGATTGACATTGCATTTATAAGTTCAGGGTAGCTAAATTAAAAAGTAACACTAAAAAGATAGATCTCTGAGCATCCTATGCTTCATTTGTATTGTGACTGGGAAAGAAATATTGCATCCTGTTATTCGCTTTCTTAATAATGCCAATGTTTTTTTTTTTTATGCAACGCTTACTGTGACTATCTGATTAGATTTACATGAATATCTTGTCTTATGATTATGTTTCACTCATTCTTGTCTTTGACTAATGTGAATAACAGGTCTGTAAAGTGGACCAGTCTGTGGATCAGTCTGTAAGGACATCCATTCCAGTGTTTTGAAATAATTCATGTAGTCCTTTCATTATTAGTCTGGGAAGAAGTTTGCTGAGTCAACCAACAAGGAATGTGCAGAAACAATAGAAATAGAGGTGTCTTGGGCATTAATGCACTATTTTCTTATCATCAGAGTTGGCGACACAATGGGCCAGAACAAGAAGACTCAACAGAAGCCAAAGAGCCCTCCAACCAACAGGTATGATTACTACAGCAGCAGCGAGATAAAGCTCACTGAAAGTGCTACTTCGTCTATTGAATGGACTGGGCAGTGATGGATTAATCCGATAAAAGTTACACTTACAATGTATCCATGTAACCAGTAGGGCTGGATTAATAGTACAGATAATAAATAACAAAGTGTTGTTACATGGAGGTCAGTAGCTTTTCTTTGGAATTGATATTAAGTTTCAGTTTAATTCAAGTTGGGTTAACTGATGAGTTTGTTTCACAGCTGCATGCACTGTAACGAAGCTGTCTTAATAATTTTTTACTGTTGGAAAATTAAATTAATAGAGCTGACGTTCATGGTTTTTGCATATTTAGTTGGTTTGTAGGTGAGGTGCAGTGAGTCCAGTGGTACTGGATTTCAGACTGCTTTATCTAACCTGGTCAACTGCAGTAGTTTCCTGGTAGGATCGGTGCTAGTTTACTCTCGAAAACAGTGGCATATACTGTAGTATCAAAATGCTGGGCTATCTATATCCAGTTTCTTATCGATCCTCCTGCTTTTTTCTTAGGGTCCTTCAACCAAACCAGGGCCAGAATGCCCCAGTTCCTGGTCACCTGCACAGACAGGGGTGAGTGGCAGAGTGGGACAGGGCCTTTTTATGCAAATAGGATAAAGCTGTGTTTTGGTGTGTGTTCATGAAAACAGGCAGGTATGATACCATGATACCGGGTTAACAGCCTTGCTTCTGTAAAAAGACCTGTGGTATCTTCACCACGCATAGTGCCTACAAGGACCTCAACGAAGTGTCCTATCTAATAATGCCTTTTACAGTACTGGAATTTGTAGTCTAAGGGGAATAGTTCACCAGCACTGCCTCAAGCAGCATTTTGAATTTCCTTGCGTAGTTTGTAAAGCAGTAATACAGTGAGATCTGGTTATAGTGAGTAGGGTGAGAGAACAGAAAAGGAGGGAATGTTATGAATGAACAAATAAACTTTGTTTGTTGTGGTTGGTCCACACGTGGACAGTATGGAGATCACGGATGACTCCACAGCGCCCTGTGACGATCTCCCCTCTCTCTGGCAGGAGTCTGTACAGGAAGAACCCTGAGGAGCGGGTCAAGCGCTCTGATAGCCTGAGGAAGCAGCATTCTCTGGGATAGACGTCCTGCCAAGCAAATGCAGATTCTTCCCATTCCTCTCCAAGCGCATAATCGACACAGGGGCCTCCCCACTCCTGGGGAACGAGCCCACAGCTCTGACTCTGAAATGGGGTGTCACGGAGCCCCTGTGGGCAGGTGGCGTCTTCTCACAGTTTTATTCAAAATGTTTAATGTTTACACTGAGTCAGTTTTAAAAAGTGAACAAAGAAATGCACTCTTGCTGCAAGACGTATGTAAATTAGTTTATCTTAAAGGATCAAATGTTTTTAAAGGAATGCCAAACCAGAGAGGTGAATTTGGGGGTGTAACACAAGCTGCTTTGAACTGTTGCATTTCAAACTTTCCATGTATTTAAAAGTCCTGTAGTTACTGACAGCAATGCACTGTCTAGATGAGGTATTCTTCACTCAAGTGTAACTGGGTCTTGTGTAGTGCTGCAGCCACTCAAAACAAGCAAATCAAGCCTTCTTTCTACTTTGCACTGACAGTTTTTAGGCCAGGGTTTCAGTCTTTGTCGTCAGGGTACCCTCTGCATTCATTGTTGTTATAAATTGTTTTCTAATTGAATTGTTTTCCATACTTGGATTACAGTTCATGTCATTGTAACCATTACTCTCTCTTTTTCCTGTTTCACAAACAATGCAGTGTGTCCTCAACATATTTATGACATTTCTCTTCACAGTTAGTTCATAGAGAACTGATTGTGGCCTTGCCAGTTACTAGCTGTGTGTTTTTTACATCTGTGAACCCCGTGACTGCAAAGGGGAGGATGAAGACGTGTAGTCGGTCTCCCCTGACCCTCCCACCTTCAAGCCACTTGTCTTTCAGTGCGTCACAAGTACCACATGTCAGACCAGTGGTTCTGTGCTGACTGACTGATTTCCTTACCATGGGGAGCACTGTATTGCTGAGAGCCCTGGCCAACTCATCCTACCACTTGTGAAATCTCAGTCACAGTGGGTGTCTTAACTGGTTGAGTTCCTCAAGAGAGCCAATTAAAACCAATTAACCAATTACATCCGATTATATAGCTCTGGTGGGAAGAAAACTGGCAGACAGAAGTGATTCTGGGGAAAAGGTCAGGAAATGATCTTTTCTTGCTGTAACGCCCTACTACCTTAATATAGTCATCAGCAGTATAAGGGATGTCAGTATGTTTCATGGAGTAACTTGTAAGTAGAAAGGATCACAGAGCCGAGGTATATGCCCAGTCTAAGATGATTATGAGGCACTGGCCTTATGTGATAGCCAAACCACAGGGAGCAGAGATGAAAATAATTGTACTGAAGCTGTCCAGCAGGTGAGCTCTTGAATCACAGTTCACTTACTGAATTTCAGGAGTGTTTTTCAAATCTCGGGAACTAGTATCTATCCAAGCCTGGGCCTTGTATGTGCCTCTCCTTCTCCTGTCTGAGCACTAATGTACTGCAGGAGACACTGTTTTGCCAAGTCTCAGTTTGTCTGTTCTCCAGCCAAGTGCACTATAGTGCAAGTTTAACTTAGTTATAGTATTGCTTTGACTACATAGTATGCAGAATGTGTTCCCTAGATCAGAATGCATAAACCACATTGATAGTATTTTAGACTGTATAGAGTTGTTACAAGTGTAGATAATAAGTTAAGATTTGTATAATTGTTTTATGATCTGTACCAGTATCCTCTTTAAGTCTGCTCTGTACCTCATTTCGTGAATTTTGCAGAGCAGTCATTTTTGTTGCAGACTTAAAGTGGATACTAGTACAGTCTTTTAGAGAATGTGGCCCGTGCTCTTCTTAGCTTGCCTTTTGCAGAAGTACTACCCTCTCTGCAATTATGATATTGATGACAGAGGTGGTGTTGTATTGTGCAGGACTGTTAGTTTCCATTCCCAAATGAAACAGGCCATGACACAGTAGCTGTCCTTTTAATCATATGTTTACATTTTGCATCTGATTGTATTTAATTTTGTAGTTCTAGAAACATTTTGAAACTAGTAGTTTTTTTATTTAAAATGTTTTATTTCATTTTGGCAGCTTGGCTAGAAGCTGTTGCTCTGCACAGAGTGCTACAAATCAAAAGTGGCTTTTGTGTTTTTTTGTGTTTCCACAGGTCAGAAAGGTGTATAATAAAATAGCTTATTTATCCGAGCGTGTTCTAGCAGGCACAGCTTGGTTTAGTTGTGCTGTATTACCTTGGCTCTGACAGCCCTCTGCTTCCATCTGCTGCACAACTAGACAAGATCTGGTAGACTGTGAGAGGAGGACACTAGTTGATCTACAGCTCCGTTTTAATTAGGTGGGGATATCCAAGATCTCAATATGCAGAACAAGAAGGAGCTCATTTTAAAAAGCAGCCTGGGAGACTATAGCCCTATAAAATCTGAAATTAGGTCATACTAGGATTAACTTATATATATATAATATTTATCTCAATAGTATTAGTTTAGTTAATATTCTAAATACTAATTGTATAGTATTATAGGGAAACTGTAGGTGAAAAATGTAAAGACTGCTCTTCAATTTCTTTTAATGCCTTAACCCGCCCGGCAGAGAAGAACAGAATTTCAGCCCCCCGTTGTGACGTTTTACGATTTAGTGCCGAGTTGTGGGCACAGCTACGGTACCACTGTCCTCCACACACCAGGGCCCGTCTGGAGATGCCCGTCCCTGCCAGAAGCCCACGAGTGCCAGTGTGCCTGTCTTTCAGCACCGCAGACTTGCTGGCTGCTTACCGCTCCCATGCTGTGTTGCAATGCTGGGTTCTCTTTTTAATTTCCTTGCATCATTTTCTGTGTGTATTCAATTATTTATTCTTTTGTATGGTATTCTTAATTCCTGTTTATAAGCATGTTGAATTAATTAAAAAAAATATATCAACCTTGTGTTGTTGTTCTTTAAATAAAAACAAATATGCTGTTGTACAGCACCAAATGAGAAAAAGAATCTATGGACTTTAGATGCAGAGCTGGTTTAATTAAGACTGGCACAACTACTACTTCTCCAGCTCGTATGAGTATGTCAAGTATCATTTGTGGGGTTCATCAGCTCAAAAGGCATTCAAATATGTCATTGGCAATGTGCCAGTCACAAGGCGTTAGTCCAGCTCACACCTTGGTAACAGTTACCCAGCTGAAAAAGAGCTGTGGCTCCCCCTCCTACCAGGCTTAACAGACAAGTAAAATATACTTAAGCATTTGCTGTATTTTTTTAAATTAAATAAAATATGTAGCTGTATGTAGAGAGACGCCTGACGACTCCAAGATCATGGTGTCAAAGTTCCCAGGACCCAAGGTCATGCTAACAGAAACGGGATGTGCTTGACATCCATTGCTGTCGCATACATGCACAACCAAACAGCTACACCGGGTATTTACATAAAACAAACTACAGGTCACGAATTTTTCAAGCAAATAAACGTGTACGGAAACGGTAGAAGCACAGGTTTCGAAGGGAAGCTAACAAAGCATTTGAAACTCGCCCCCTCCACGCCTAGATGTCCAGTTCCAGCGGGGGCGTTTCTTTTCTCCAGACACAGAGGAAGTACAGCTCGTACTTCATTTCCCAGAATGCCTAAAGGTTAAAGTTGAACTTCGACGCCTAGTGGAAGTCACCTGACTGCGAAGATGTCTGCAGTACAGTGGTAAGGAAACAGTTTTGCTGGTTTTAATCGCTCTAGATTGTGCCTCACTGTTCTGATAATTTATAACACAGAGACAGAGACTTTCAACGATGCTGCCAAAAAACAGAAGTTCCTTGTTAGACATTTTTCAGGTATTATGTGTAAACACCAGAAATATAAAAAATACATGTAAACTGCAGTTCTGAGTTAAATGCAGCAGATCGCGACAATCATGTTTTAGCATGAAGGTTAAAAACAAATAAAAGAAGATAATTTTTTTATGATCATCTGTGGATCAGTTTGAGTGTGCATATGTGTATTTTGTATTTTCGGTGATCATGTGACCTGATGGACGGTTCTCCTCGGGGCGATCTATAGACACATCTCGGACATTTCGGTGGAGTAAAGATCGCCCTCGAACCTAACATCCCGTTTCAGCCAAAACCCCTGATGCACTGCACCGTTCATATTTTTTTTATCGTTGCTCCTCCCAATGCTACTGTACACCGTCATAATTATGCACAAGCTTTAAGCAGTTCTAAGGACGTGCATCTGTGTAAAATTATAGTATGATGAGGGAGTTGTATTTGCGTGTGGACTGTGAATTGCTAACACCGTATGGAAATGCTGTCCATACCACTACAGAATTAAATACATTTTGAGTTTCATTATGGGTTTCTGTCTGGCCAGTTGCAGCAGTCCGTCAGCCTAATTTGATATTAATGTTAATGTTGTAAGTGTAATGCTGAACAATAAGCATTACAATTCGTGCAGAATATGTCAACAGGACTTTAAATACGTGCCTGTCCCTTCACTTGTCTGCCTCTCTCGACATTAGAGAGATATAGCTGGTTCTGTAATGCCTTCCATATGAAGAGGCAGTAAAACTACCGATTTCAGGTGCAACGTTTTAATTGGCAGTTGTTTTAAATACATCGCTTCGATATTTAGCTGTTAGCGGTCTTGGCATTTTGGCCGCTATTCCTCAAAAAGCTGGTGAGTATTTCAGTCAAGCAGCAGGTTCGTTAGTTCGGTTACGGCTTCAGTGAAGTACTCAAGCTCGGCTGGAGTGAAAACCCGGAGCTGGACACCAGGACCAGGATTGGGAGCCCCAGTTGTAAGCCGTCTTGAACGGGGTCTTGACGGCTTGGTTGTGTGTGCGGGTTTGCTGGCGGGATGTGACGCCTCTCTCTGGTTCCAGGCACTCGAGGAATCGCCCCTATGAAGCCGAGCTGGCGGCGGGCTGTCTGGGGGCCGTGCCAGTCGAGGCTGGGGACTACCACCCACTGAAGCCCATCACAGTGAGTCCCGGCAGGCGATGAGGGGTCCTCTTTCACACCCAGACTGACCCCCAGCTGACCGAATCGGGTGTCTGTAACATACAGCCCTGTTTTCACTGATCACGAGTGAAAGAAGTGTGTTGTTGGAACTGGAGGCAGAAAACCTCCAGTTTTTGAAAGGTTTCTGCTCTCATTTAAGGAGCTCAGAGCTCAGTTAGCTTGCTTTTACAAGGCGCAGTGTCTCCGGTTGTGTCTGTATCCGTGCAGGTGACGGACACCAGGACCCGACGGCCCGGCCGTAAGGGCAGCTCTTCCTCATCCTCGTCTTCCTCCAGCTCGGCCCCGGACCCCCTCAGCTCCATGCTGGATGGCACTGACCCCCTGTCGATGTTCGCTGCCGCCGCCGGAGACGCGTCGGTGCCCACCGCGTCCGGGGTGAGACTCGAGCACACGCTGCCAGATCGCGACCCGCAGGGCCTGAGCGGCTCCGAGACTCTGAGATCGACCGTGTTGCCTGTCTGCTGACGAGCAGTGGGCGGCGTCGGGGGCTGATCGGTTTTCGTGGATTCTTCCCTTAGGAATCTGGCAGGAAGAGGCGGGAAAAGGAAGAGGAGGAAGGCGTGGGCATCGACTTTGAGCCCTGGGCGACCAAGCGTAGCGAGATCCTGGCCAGGTTCACCACCACTGAGAAGCTTTCCATCGTGAGTGGGCGCCAGTGGGCACAGACGCTGGCCGGGCACCTGCTTGGCATCTGCTACAGCGTTTCCAACGATCAGTGTTTCCTTCAGGAAATGTCCCCTGTCTGCTGTAGTTCCTTTACAGTGAAAAGGCAATATAGCCTTGAAGGGAATTTTTATGCATTTTCTTTTCCTGGGCTGTATGCCATTGAACTTAAAAGCTTTGGCATGACTCTTCCACATAAAATGTTAAACTGCAGTTCAGTCCCCATCATTCTCATTGAAGAAATCGGGGCACGTTCTGATCAAGCACAGCATTTAAGGAATCTGGCCTCTGTCTGTAATGTCTGATAGCGTCCTGCCCAGGGTGTATCCTGCCTTGCGCTCAGGGTTGCCTTAGATGAATTCAGTTTGCAGCATGAGGCAGCATGCGCTCATTTAAGTAAAGCCTGCTCAAAACAAGAATGGTCTTTCCCTACTGTGTTTTTTTTTCATGTCCTAGGCTGCTGTGTTGAAAAGTGCTGGATTTTGTTATGTCTCGCTGATTATTTCTCTCTCTCTGTGTCCTCTTCTCAGAACTTGTTCATGGGGTTGGACAAAGGTGAGAAGAGTTCTGTAATCTGTAACATACGTTGATGAGAATCTGCTTTTTAACCCCGCCGCTGCGGTTAGAAGGCTTGAGAAACACTTGGTGATGAACAGACTGATTGGATCAGAAGCTTGGTATTGTGAAAAACAACTTTAAAAACTGTTAGCTGATCCATTGTATGTGCTTTCTTGTTGCATTTCTTCACGTTCAACTTCAGGTGCACCATTGTAGTTAGAACACAGTATAATCTAAACAGAAATTACAATTTAAGATCAGAAAATCCATATATCAATCCAATAGTCATAAGTGTCTCCACCCCTGGTCCGGGAGAATCCCAGTCCAGTGAGTTTTGTAGGTCACTTGTTCTAAGGACAGGCCACACCTGTCTATTCTTGAGGAATCAAACGTGTAATATGTGCAGTGAAGAAATCTCTGGTCCTCAATAGTGCGTAGATTTTAGATAACTATGTTGTTCTAAACTTTGTGGAAACAAATTGTGACCTCCATACCCTACGTGATGGTGGTGATCAGGATCAGGGCTTTGATCTTCAGCTCTCCAGAGCCCCGGGATTTTATCTGGTTCTGTTAAGCAAGAGAATAGTTTTACAGTTATCCTCACAAGGGGGAATTTTCTACATCTACCTGCTAAATTTCATAATGAATATTGTTTTTTTATTTTCTTGGCCAGTTGGTAAACTGCATGAGTACCAGTACTGTGAAAACTACGACCATTTCATTTTCTCCCTAGTTAACTACGTGTTTCACTTTTGCTACTTTGTTTTCCCTTGTAATAATTTTACAAAGAATTGTGTGAATTAGGTTGAATTACTGCTTGTGCGAATTGTGATACTGGAAGCTCAGGCAGAATTAAAACTGTACAGGCTGGAGGTGCGTGGAGGGTTTTTTTCTTTGTTGTTTGTCGGACACTCTAGGGTATATTCCTGTTGTGCACGTACAGTTTTAATTGTGTCTGCCTATTGGAGGAAATTCCCCTCCCAGTAACCCTGTGGTACATCAGCCTTGCTCCCAGTCCTGGCTCTGGAGGCACACAGGCCTCAGCGTCACACAACTGAACCCTTCAAGGGGAACTATAATCCCAGTTTCTCAGACCGGTTATTAAATCTCGGTTACAAAATAGAAGTGTTGACGGCAGAGTAAAAATTTCCCGCATTTCGAATGAAGCACAAAATCGTGAACTTTGTGAAAGTACTGTTAGTCGCCATGTTGTGGCAAAGCCCTGGTCTCCCCGCGGGCGAGAGCGAGAGCTCACGGGAGCAGCCATTCCTGCTCACTAGTCACTGGGATGACATCATCTGCGTGCAAGAGTTAACAAGTAGTTTTTGTCGGCAAAACCATCTAGAAATTGAGAGCAATATTTCTATTGGATTAAAAGAGATGTCTTCACAAGTCTGCTGGTTTACAATGTAATAGGGCCGCTTCACCTTACCGGAAGTTTTGTTGCCTTGAATTTCAGAATAGGGCACTGCTCGTACCTAGTCTATTTTGTGATGTCATTTGGAGATTTCACATGTCACTGTGTGCATTGTGCTTTCATTACAGTTTGAAATACACTCAACGATACTGATTCTTTATAACCCCAAAATATAAAAATTGGATTTGCAGTTCCCCTTTAATTGTATTTCTCAATGACAGTAAATATTTTGAGTAGGAAACAAAACCTGCGAAAATTCCCGTCAAGCCCTTCGCTCGTCCTGTCAGGGCTTCAGTAGGGTAATGAAGCTGGGCTGGAAGGAAAACCAGGAGGTGGATGATCCTCCGGGACCAGGATTGGGAGCCCCTTGGGCTAGCAGGCCGGGTCACTGAGAGCTGAATGTGTGATTGACAGGGAAGGCGCCCAGTCCTGGCTCAGCGGTGTCGGAGAAAGTGCGGACTCGGTTGGAGGAGCTGGATGACCTGGAGGAGGTGAGTTTTTCCTGCTTTGTTATTCTTCTCCAAAACTGATGCCTGGTCTTTCTCAGAACCAGCCAGGCCGGTCCTGAGTCAAGGTTACTTCTGTCAGTTCGGCCTGACAGATTCAAGGACTGAGAATGGAGAGATTAGGTTTAAGGGACACCAGTGAGAGCCTATGGCATGTGGGAACCAGGAATTAGAATGAACCCAACCTGGCTTAGAATTAGCAATGGTGCCTATGCTAAAAAATAATTTTGTTTTTAAAACCAAAGGGTCGAGTCTAAAACTTCAGCTTTCCAGGTTTGCAGATATAGCAGAAAGCTGATCGTGACATCAGGTTTTTGACATCAAGCGACAAAACCATTCCTCTTCCGAGCGGCCTGTTAAATCAGCACCGTCGCGGGTTGGACTGAATTTGGGGGATCTCTTGTCGGAGAATGTTGGGCGCCGTCTCCCCTCATCTCTGTGCGTTTTTTTTTTTTTCCAGGGCTCGCAGAAGGAGATGCTGAACCTCTCTCAGCAAGACTACGTCAACCGCATCGAGGAGCTCAACCAGTCTCTGAAGGAGGCCTGGGCTTCAGATCAGAAAGTCAGGGCGCTCAAGATCGTCATCCAGGTGTGGGGACGCGGGCTGGTTGTATCTGTTAAGCTGTCTGTCAGCGTGACGCACTGCGTCTGTTTCTGTCTGTATGACTGACCTAAATCTAACACAGCTGGGATTCCATTTAGAGGCTGACTCAACCTGTAGGGTAAATTCCGAATTATAGTAATATACAGGATTTCAGCTTTGCTATTTTCAACACAGCAGATCATGCAGACCGTTGTTAGATCTTCTGTATTCTATGTGATGAAATTACTAAGTCAACTGAGTGATAATAAGTGATTATTTGATATCGGTGTCCAAAGGTTCCTGAGGGTTTCTTCTGCATATACGGCCCAGGAAACTCCTGGTATAATTTGTCTGTGTGTGTGTTTGTGCTGCAGTGCTCCAAGCTACTCTCTGACACCGCCGTGATCCAGTTTTATCCCAGCAAGTTTGTGCTGATCACAGACATCCTGGATACTTTTGGTGAGTATGTGTGGCTCGGTCCACAGGTGTTTGATTATGCCAAAGGTTTTCTTTTCAAACTTGTCGTATTTTTCCAGATGTGCGACAAAGGCGCCGAAAGTATTGGAAGGAAAGACACCCTTGTAGCCGGTAGATTTCATTGGCCATCTGTTGGCATCATCCTCCAAGAACCATGAGAGCTACCAGACAAGAACATAATTGATTCATGTCACTACAGCTCCCAGAGAAAGGACTCCTGGTTGTCTTTCTCTGTTTGTTTTTTTTGTTTTCAAACTATGGAATTGCCGGTTGTTATTTTATTATCCTTTTTGCTGTTGTTTCGGCTGGCGGCTACAAACAGCGCCTTCGTTCTTCGCTTGTGTTCATTTTGTATTGGCTTTTTTTCAATTCAGGATGCGTCCAGGTGCTAACTGAAGGCGCTTTCCAATTTGAAAGCCCTCTCTCGTTTCTCTTGTCCCCCACACACCCAATTCAAGTGGGGATTTCTCTTCCCGTTGGCAGGGCGGCTGGTGTACGAGAGGATCTGGACCATGTGTTCTGACTCTAAGCCCTTTCCAGGTGAGGGCCTGTCGTTGGTAACTGTTTGTCTGTATCTGAAGTTCTGTCAGCGGCCATGTTTCTGTCTTTTTAACTCCTCCCTCCTGGTTTCCTCCTTACAGAGTCCTTTTCCCCAGAGGATGTTAATGACACGGCGAAAGAGACCTGCCTCAACTGGTTCTTCAAAATTGCCTCCATCAGAGAGCTCATCCCTCGACTGTATCCTTGACACTGTGATGTACATCCAGTACCCTCACTGCCTTGACAGCAGGCTTTCCTCTCAGTGGCAGCCATTAATACGTTTGGGAGAACATTGTATATCATCAATAAACTCTTACCAAATTCAAAGTCACCTGGGGCCTCTCCCAGAAAGCACTGGGCACAAGGCAAGATATACCCCAGATGAGACGCCAGTCTGTTGCAGGGCTCCCACACGCACACACACGCACAACAGGGCCAATTTTACACAAGATAATTAACCTGCCAGCATGTCTTTGGACTGTGAGAGGAAACTGGAAGAAAGGGAGAGAACATTCAAACTCAACACAGACAGCACCCCGGGTCTGAAACTGACCCCAGGGTCCCAGGCAGCAATACTAACCACAGACTTCAAACTTTGCACATTTGCAAACTATTATGCTCCTTGGCAAAACCCTACATTTATCTTAAGGTCAGTCAACAGGAGTAAATAAAATTATAGCACTTGTACTGCCCCAGGACTCTATATATTTCCATATATATTTAAACCATAGGTCAATGGATTTTAAATCTTCACTTGAAGTTGTAAAAATCTGTAAAAACAGCAGGTTTCTGAAGTTTTGTTTTTGGCTAGGCTCTCGGTTGTCTTTCAGCTGCCCACAGGTGCACTGAGGTTCCACTGGTTTTCCTTCACGGCGCTGACAGATATGTGGAGGCCGCCATCCTGAAGTGTCACCGGTTCCTCTCGAAAGCGTGGGTATCTTTCCTGTATTGGCATGACCGATGAGGTACTGTGTTGCCAGAGCAACAGAAAAATAAAAAAAGGCCTGTTCCTCGGGCTGTGACAGGAGGTCACATATTGGGCTGCAGCTCTGTTGAGTTTCTTCCCTTCTCTCCCACTGGGATTGGAAGCTGTTCTGATTCTGGCAGGTGTGGGGGATTTTGGAGTTTGATTTATTTGA